TACCAATTTAAATGTAAAAAGAGTGGTACAGACTGAAGAAAACAAGATAAGGTGAACATTTTGTAATATATAGAGGAAATACAGCCAGTTGGAGATAGTGTCTTTATTTCTGTTTAAGAAGCAAAAAAAAAAAAAAAAAAAAAAATAGAACTCACTTTGCAAGAGCTTTTTTCTTGCTTAAATCTCTACTATTCTTACAGTAGCTACCTATGGCTTCCTTTACTTTTCACCTAGTACCAAGCCACTCTGCTCCCTTTTGTACATTTCACCCTCTTGGAGCACAGATCTACTGTGACTGATTCCCAAAGTCAGGTATACAATTCTGGTAAGGTCCTCCAAATATACCCTGTCCACATGTCCCTGAGTGTATCTTCTGTCTTCCTGGAACATTCTGTGATTCTGCCTCAGACCTTCCCACCTTAGGAGCTCTACTCCTGAAACTTTTCCTTTGTGGAATGCCTTTGCACTGTGCTCACCTGCTGGCATAGTAGCTGTCTTTCAAAGCCCACCTTGTATGTCCCATTCACACCTGAAGCTTTTCTGTGATTCTCCCAAACCAATTATGATTTTGCCATTTTTTGGCTTTGTATCTCCCATACATTGTCTGCCAAGGTGCCGTCTGTTTTGGTCATTTGCAGACATGGCTTAATTTCCTAGTTTGTAGACTCGGTAAGGATGGGGACTGAACCTTACCCATTTTTGTCACCTTGCACATAATTGATGCTCAGAATATAACTTTTGGATTTAGTGATTTGCATACTTCAATGATCACACAGATTTTCTTTCTGAAAATAAACTTTGAGTAATTTTCCCTCTTTCCACATTTTTTTCTCTGTAAGTGCCTAACACTGGACACTTCAAAATTTTCATCTTATTGCTTGTGTCCCTCTTCTAGGGCTTTTGACATACACTTTTTTCCAGGGTAGGCTTGTGCATTTGTGCCTTGGCAGGTTGATGGCTATGACTGTGAATAATGAGTCAATTATCATCCAGCCTTGGGGACAGCACAATTATTCCTGACTGGCCAGGCTGAGGTAATCCTCTCCTCCCCGTGCCCTTTCAAACGGAGAACATAAAGCAGTTGGAATTCAGAGCTCTGCAAAGGGAATTTAGACAAAACATCTGTGTGCTGAATTTTGCTTCTTTGGATTTATTCTGATTTATGATTGATTGGTTTTTAAATTGCTTCTTTAATCCTAACAACTATTGCTCCAGAGGAGGCCATATACCAAGAAACATGTGATCAAGAAGCAGTGGAGTGAAGTAGTTTGGCTGGACAAATCAAGAGCAAATATTGTCCAGAGAAACATTGCTCTAGGCTAAAAGTATAATGTGAAAATCACCCCCTGACTTTAAAAGTACCAACCTTGTTATAAGCATGATTGCTTATCCCTTATTCTCTTTGCAGAAGTCTTTTGGCAACAGCCTGGTGTTGCACAGAATATTCCCCCCATGAATTTTTCTTTCCTTCTAGCAATATATTCAGTATCACATCGGGACTGAGAACATGCTCTTGATTTATATTGCTATTGACCATAGTGCAGAAGAACAGACACTTCGAGGTTGCTGGCAGGATTTAATCATGAATTCTGACGTTGGTTGTGCTGATATGTGAAAACTACTGCAAGTGTGGTAATGATTCTCAGCTCATGGACACAAGTTTGGCTTTTGTATGGATGAATTTGAATTTTTAAAAAAGTTTCTTTCAAAATTCAGTTCTCCTAAAATAATCACTTCTCTCTGGAAGATATATAATGAATATATGGTTGTGTCTAATTTACCAAGGCATCAAAGTTTCCACCTTTTCAAGGCTTATAACCTTTCTCTTTGGTCTGAAATTAAATGTTGAAGGTGTAGTGGTGGCCTTGTAAGCCAGATCTGTTGAAAGCTTGTCTGTTTGCTATCAAAAGGAAATTGAAATTCCATTGCTTCAGAATAATGAAACCTCTGAACACCTTTAGAAAAAACTTTTGTCTCATCTGTATTGAAGTTTTGACTCAGAAATGCCCAAAGAAATGCTCTTTCAGGTCTCAATAACCTACTCGTTCTCTGAAATATTGCTGTTAGATTTCTAAACTGTGTTATACCTGACACGTATTTCAAAGCAAGAAACATTAGGGATAACATGAAAGGTAGAAAAAGACTCTGATAAAAACCAGAAACAGAAGAGGGTGAGATGAACAGTTGGGTGGCACGCGTGGATCACCACCAGGACCATTCTGGGAAGCAGCTTCTGGTCTCTAATCAGGCTGTCAGCCAGTCCGAAGTCTGGGCTGTGCCAACATCTGCTATTTTGACATTATCATATTGAAAAAGAACTTTTTTTCCTATTTCACTTGGCAAGATATTTATTATTTACTAGGTTTAAAAAGTGATAAAAGTCTTTCTAAGGAGCACTTTTGAGTCTTTGGAAGGAGGTAGCATGTATTCTTGTGAAATGAATTTCCATGTTTAGGAAGTAGCTTTAAAATATAGGTTTAATCAAAGAGAGAATAAATTCTTTTCTGACTCTTGTGGTATTTTAAAAATGAAAGCTTTATGTTTACAAAAGGTGTGTGTGGGAGTTTTAAAAGAGTGGCTAAGACTTTTTGTTAGATCTGAGACACAATAATTCATCATCAGTACCAGAAGCTTGGACTTCATTATTTTTTATTCATTATTTCAAAGGAATTTCAACTGGTTATCTGTCAGATAAACCTGAGCATTTTATTGGAAATGGTAGAGGAGTATACTGAGTGGCCATGAGAATAAATAGAACTTGTCCTTACAGAATGTCTATTTTCAGACATGTCTGTGCTTTTCAGGAATTAAGTCAATCGACTATTACGAGTGTTGTGCTGGGCACATGCTGTTTTCTTACTAAATACTCAGTTTAGCTTGTGCTTGACTGAAAAGATAAGCAGGGAGGGCAGAAATTCTTTCACCTTTTATTATAACAGTACACCGAGGAATGGTGGAGCCACAGGAACTCTTATTTCCTTTTAATTTTGATGAAGTTTGAAAAACCCTTTCATCCCTCATTGAACTGCTATTTGTGTCTGCATGCCTAACTTGATCCACCCCGCTACCAGTTTTATTGTTGCCTTCAGACTGATTGAGGATTTGTCTATGGCTATAAAAGAGGAAGATAGCTGGGAAACTATGTCCTAAGACTATTTCTTCCTTGCTTATGTGGTCCTTCATACTGCTGTTTCCCCAGCAGTATTTAGCAGCCCTCCAGCACCTTACGTAGCCCTCCAACTCCTCCATCACTGGTATCCAAGACTGGTGCTTCATACCAGCATATCTAGGGCTTTGTTGGTGCATAAGGCAGAGGTCACCTCTTCTTGTAGGAGCTAGTTAGGGGTCACTGGTGTGGTGGGGTGGGCAGTAGGGAAGAGCTGGTTTGATATGTATTATTTATAGATATGGCCTTTGTAAAGAGAAAGTAATGCATTAGATATTTGTTTTACATCTCTGGTTTGTTAATGATATATTTGTTATAGGCTACATTGTCTTTACTCTGTTTCCCAACAGTATTTGAGTGTTAATATCCTGAAGACAGCCCCAAAGTCTTAATTCTGTCAGTGATAAGATATTCAGAAACAAACAAGGGATTCCAACTGGACTTGCACCAGGCTGTGATTATTTGCTATTGTCTCAACAAGCAAGTTGCAGTTTTAGAGTGTACCCTGCAGCTGTGGTCCTTTTATTGACTGTTGTAGGCTTTACTTTGCTTGTCCTCTTCTATTCTGTGAGGACTTTCCCTTTATTTCTTGTAATATTTTGGGTAGTAAAGCACAGTAGTTAGGAGGTTAGATTTTAGAGTCAGAGGCCTAGGTTCAGACCTGTGTTCTGCAGTCTACCAGCCATATAGCCTCAAATACACTACTTAATCTCTCTGTTGGCCTCAGTTTCCTTACTGGTAAAGTGGGATGGTAACAGTATTTCCCCCAAGGGGTACTGCAGGGCTGTAATGAAATAAGTCATGAGATGCTCATAAAGGAGTATTTGACACTAAATGACTGTTAACCCTTACTCATTTTAATATTACTATTAATATTAAAAATATTTTTTGGCTTAAACCATTATCTCAGTGTAGTTTATGTACCAGTGGTACCTTTCCCGTATTTTGCCCTACATTTTCAGTTGCATTTGGGTCATTTATACCAGTTTCCATTTGTAGCTCAACTAGATTCTCTCTCACCCAGCTTATTCCATTTTTTTACCCCTACATTTCTGTTAATGGTGCTCTAGTATTATAATTTTCTCTTGAATTAAACTTAGGCTCTTGATTAAAATTAGGCTCTTTCCTTATCCTAAAGAGATAATCATGAATATGCATGGGCTTAATAAAAAGTTATTGGTTTTACTTATAAATAGTTGAGAATAAGATATTAGCTAAATAAAGTATTTTATGTTTATATAGTGGAATTCTCTGTAACTTAAAATTACATAGAAGACTATTCAATAAAATGAAAAGAAATACTATTGACAAGTTGAGTTATAATATGTACAGTACAATTCCATTTTTACTTTTACAAATACTTGGATACACAAAAAAGATTACCAGGCCCTCAGACATTTTGTTGTGGTTGTGCTGGTACATAGGATTATGAGTAATTTTCATATTTTACTTTTTTCCCTTATAAATTTTCCAAAATCATCCACAGATTGCCTCCATATGAGGGGGAGAATCTTTCATATTGAGAAAAAATATCGAGATAAGTAAGGTCTTAAGGTCTTGCAAATACTTTGACCTTTTAACAATGGCCAAGAACGGTGCTGGGTACATAGTAGGCACTCAATAAATATTTGCTGAATGTTGAATGCAATAGTCTTATTTTTCTATGCATTTTTAGAAATAGCTTTGTATTTAAGAGTACTTAAAGCCTCAAGAATTCTACTTGTGTAGTTCTTTGAAAAGTATCCTTTTTTTGAAGAAGGTTTTTCAGTAAGTCCAAATAAACCAAACTGAGTATGGTGGGTATTTTCTAATACTGTATCACTTTTTATTTCAGAGGATAATATGGCCAAAAGGAGAGCACTTGGAACCAGTTCTTTGGGAAACATATTTACCTCAATAAAAGTTACTCATAAAAATCAACCAACTGATCACCATCTTAGAAATACAGCCGTCTTTCTTCATACTTCATCTCAATGTTTAGAAGAAGAACAGGTAAAACCATTGCACATTTATAGAAACAGTTTGAGGCAAAAAGAAAAACCCATTCTTCATAAATTAGAAAAAAGAGACCATAAGAAACATTGGACAGTTATCAGATTGGTAACTTCTTATTCAAGGAGTGGCATTTGGGTACTTTGTTGAAAATAATCATTACATTTCAAGTTTTCAATAGCTACAATTTATGACAGTAGCTTAGTTTAACCCAATTTTTGTTTAAAAACCTTTTAAGAATATGTCATCATTCTTCTTGAAATTATATCTTTTGTTCGCTATACAAATTCTTTTTTTAAAAATAATTCTTGTTGTAAAATGAGACTTATTTTTCCCTGTCCTAAATTCATTTCTTTCAAACTTAAAGTAGAAATTGTTAACCTTTGTTTTTCAAGATTTTGTCAATAAATGTTGGATGTTGTCTTCCTAATTTTTAAAACTTTATAGACTCTATTCATATGTTTCTTGGTTATGTTTTTTAATCACCAAAGAATGATAGTAGGTTGCTTGTCTACTTTTTAAGACATTTGAGTTTTTATTTCTACCTTTTAATGTTTTCCATATCGTACATAGGACAGTACGAGATTGTGATTTTATAAGAGATTAAAAGTCTCTATGTTAAAAATATGCTTATACATAGGAGTGGCTATAATTCTTTATTTCTAGAACTTGCTTCCTGTAATGATTGTGAGATATAAACTTTTTATCCCCAGAGGATTCACACTTCACTTGTATGTATTGGTCATTGGGATTATATTATATATTGAGTCTTTGACCATTTCACCATGTGAAAGGTGAAGAATTTTTTTTTTAATTTTTAAAATTTTATTTTATTGTTGTGCTGGGTAGGGGTACATCATGGCATTTACAAAGCTCCTTATAATGTATCAAATATGTCATACTTGAAATCACCCCCTCAGAAAGGTGAGGAACTCTTGAATTGCATTGTTTTCTAATAACTTGAAAATGTACTAATATTTTCTGATTTGCCTTTGAGAGGTTCACTGTCATGGGGTAGAAGGTGGTGATGTTCCCTGTTTTACACATGAAAATGCTGGGGTTAAGCTATCTACTGTAGATTAACTGTGGATGAGTCTAGAGGCCAGAAGTAGAAGTCAGACCTGAAACCTACTTCGTATCTCCTACTATGGCTTAGGAACTGGTCTTTCATGTGTAGCTAATTAACAAAAAACAGAAGGGCTACAAAATCAGCTTCTTTACTGTTGTTTCATTTTCCCATGAGTATGTCCTCACTATATTTTCAGATAGTGATGGGTGAAGGCCAAAAAGTTGGTGGTTCTTTACAAGGTGATTTGAAGTGCGCAGGAAAGGTGAAGGTAAGACATGATTCTTCATTTTTCTTACATGTCAAGAAAACACAACAAAAAAACAAACAAAATCACAAAATGCATTTGCTTTTTTTATATTCAAAGTTGGAGAATTTACCAGATTTTATCCTTGGAAAAAAATTTTTTTTTCTAATTGGTGTTTAGCTATCTCAAACTATCCTTGCTGAGCTGCGTTCTGGATCTTTTTTCTTCTTTAAAGCTTAATGAATGGAATGGAGCCTTGATAGAGAAATGTGACCCCCATCCCCTTTAGCATATACCATTAAGAAAAAAAGCAATATAATACACCAGATTCTCACATTTTAGTATTGAAACTATCATCTGGAAGACATATTTCTTCTGTCACTTGGATGCCAAGTAATAACTGTAGTTGTGAACCTATACACAATGGAAGCTACCATCATAAATTCCAATGGAATAGCCATGGTTTGGCTGTTACAAGTAGAGCTAGAGGAAAAAAGGCAGAGGCAGTCTTTTTTGAGTTGCAGTTAAGAAATTTAATCTAATTTATAATTTTAAGATATTTTGTGCACGTTTAGGTCCTGAGCATCAAAAGCATTGCAACCTTATGCCTTTACTACATGTCACTCCTGCCAGAGGTGAAATACACTTTCTTATTTACACTCTTTGGTATTCCCCTGGGATGAATTAGTTCATGTTCAAAATGTTACCATTTTGTTAATCTAAAATGTCTCATTGTCAGCTTGCAGTGGAAAGCAGTATTCCATGTGAAATAGTTTTTCATTGAAATGCTGCTATTGTCTGTAAAGGTCATTTGCTCTGCCTTTTACCTTTGAAGTAATTTTCAGTTTTATTTGCTAGAAAGAGAGAACACTTGATTTTTTTTTGCTCTGCTTACCTCTCTTGTGATTTATCTGGAGCTGGATGATTTTGTTTTGAATGAACCTTTCTCTCCTGCTTTCTTTAGTTTCTTCTCTCTGGCTCTGTAGGAGTGCTTCAAGAAAGCAAGCATGCTCTTACAATAGCAGCCAGATTCACCACCACCATTTGCTTGAGAAGCAACAAAACAAAAACAGAAAAGAGAAACCCTATTTAGGACTGTCATGGTGGTGGTATATATTCTGAGAGAAAATCTAGGACAAAGTCACTTTTCAAAAATTCCCAGCCTGTGTTTTCATTTTAGTATAGAAAGCTGACTACTGAGCCTACAAAATCCAGACCACCTTCCAAATGTACTGCTTCTTTCAAATGGGAAAGCACATAAACACAAAGGCTTTGAGCTGGGACTCACGGATTAAGGAGAAAAACAGATGTAGCCGCTCAAATGAGTGTTGTGCAAGTGGATTCATTGACTCTTCACTGTAGTTTTCCTTTAAATCTAATATGCATCAAATGAAGCTAATTTTTTTTTCTAGGTAGATAATTTCCTTACCTTAGAAGATTTGGACATAGAAGAAGAGATTAATCCCCAGATGAACAAAGGTATGCATTCTGGTTTTTTTTGTACTGCTTAACTGCTTTCTAGAAACTATAGACAGCCTTCTCTTTTTGGGGTATCCTTGCCTCCACCTCCCTGAAAAAGGAAAACTGAAATTGTAAACTTTCAAAAACAAAGATTTTATTGGATTGGTCAAAGTCTCTTGAAGATTGTAAGACCTTTGGTCTTAAGTGAAATAAAACTGTGCCCTCCCCTGATTTACCACAGGATTGATTCTTGAATCACTTTCTGACACAGAGCTATTATAAAGCATGTCCTTATTTCCTTGAAGTGCAATGTTATATATTGAGATTATTTTTGAGAGACACATAAGACATCAATAGTTCATAAAAATCATAAAATATTAGAAAGATCATATAAATAATAAAAAATCCAAATTTTTGCTTTAAAAATATGTCTGAAATATATAAACTATACACTTAAGATTAAAGATATATGGTAAATGTTTCTTCTGGGGCATTTTCCCACATGGGCTGGACTGGAAGAGGCTTTCTGCTATCCATGGATGTTTGTATAGATTATGACTTTTTTATTTCCTGGTTAACATTTCTGTAAGCATAGGTAGCCTTTATTGTTCAGTGGACCTTTGAAATATGGTCAAAATTAGGGCTATTTGTCTTAAAAACAATTTTTTGTCATTTAAGAATATCTCAAAATCAATGTTAAATTTTAGGGAGGGGGAGTTTCTTGGGAATTTGGTTCTTGATCTTTAACTGTTGTTTCCGGTCTTTAGGTAGTCATAAACACGAGTTGTTATGATTGTTGGGAGAGGATGGTTTATTTATAATCAGACAGGAGTTAAAGTGGCTGTATATAGTTGGTTTGGGGATGAAGACCATCTGTAAACTGATTGTATAAGCCCCTGCTCTGGCTTCTTTTGCTGCTTGAATTGGCAAGGCCTTGGTAATTAAAAGCAATTAACGTTTTTATTCTGCTTCCAAACATCACACTACTCCACTGAAGGGGTTTTTCTCAAACACTCTGTTAACCAGTAGACTTTGAAGATTTGAAAGTTCCTTATTTGATTTAAGTGAGATCAGAAATCTTGAAGAATCACATCTTCCAGTGAGGGTTCACTGATTTCATACCCTAGTGACTGAATTTTGTTAAGAGTAGTGTAGTGGGCTGAATGCAGTGGCTTATGCCTGTAATCTTAGTTACTCAGGAGTCGAAGATCAAGAATTCAGCCAAGGCAAAGTTTAGCAAGACCCCAGGTCTACCAACGATTGGGCATGGTGGCATGCACCTGTCATCCCAGCTGGGTCAGGACACACATATAGGAGGATCATGGTTCAGGCCTGCCTGGGCATAAAGCAAGATACTATTTCAAAAATAACCAATGCAAAAAAGGGCTGGCAGCATGGTTCAGTTGGTAGAGCATCTGCTTGGGAAGTGTGAGGCCCTGAGTCCAACTGCCAGTACTATGAGGAAGGGGGAAGTGTAGGATAAGAGCTCCAATTGGATTAGAGGGAGAGCTATGGATTTTCCGGAAGCTATGTTTGTAGAGCAAGTACTCTGAGGGAAATTGGTGAGGGAACCTTGGTTAAAAAGTGCAGATTCTTAATGTCCTGTTGCCAGGAGAGTCTAATTCAGAAGTTCTTTGGTGGCATTTGAATTTTTAACCAATACCACAGCTGATTCTGATATAGTTAGTTTGTGGTTGACACTAAAGACTAATGGCTCTAGTCTGCATTTAATACATTTACAATATAAAATCAATTTTATAGGAGAGTAGAAAAGTGCCTGTGTTAGGCATTTCTATGATTATTTAAATCCTGCTACCAATGGGAAATTCTGTATACTGACAAAAGGAACATGGTCAACAAATCTGATTTTTCTTGTACCAATCTTTAAAATTGGCCTTTTAACCTTTTCTATTTTCACATCATTTTCTTTAAACATTTTTCAAGTTGCATCTTAGTTATGAGATATATTCCTCTATTTAAAAATGAATAAAGATCACCCTACTGTGATTTTTGCAGAAATCAGATAATAGGCAGTGTTGCATTTGTGTGTAAAAGGTTACTGAGGCTGAACCATTCTCAGTGGACTTGAATGAACTAGTCAAGACCTTCCCACAAGTAAAATGATGTGCAAACCCTTGGCTAACAATGGATCCAGGCTTTAGTGATTTATTCTAATTACAGAAAAGACCACTGGGGCTTCCAATTTTTATAATGCACAATCTGGGTCACTTGAAAGGAAAAAAGAAATTAAATGGTTTGTGCCAAGGTGAATTTTAGTTTGGGCCTAATTTGTATTACACTTCAGGAATGTGAGCAGAAGGCAAATATTTATATCAGATGGGAAATGTGACATTTTAAACAGGCAAGTTGCTTGTATAATTTTGGCAGCTGGGAGGTTTACTGATTAGATTCTGTTGTTATTGTTTAAGCAACAGATTTGCCCAGGGCAACAAGGAAGTGGGTTGTGTATTGTTTTTCTACTATTGGTTTTATTTGTTCACCTTATTCACGCTCATAAATATTCTGAAGATTCAGGAGCATGATTCTTTCCCAATATTTAGTTTATCATTTTGGCAGCCAAGGAGGAGAAAGTAGAGACAGTCTTCAGTGGAGCCAACCCCATGCAGTGGTATTTAATGGTTATTTGAGGGTAACATTTGCCAGGAAGTTTGATGCCCTATGTTTATTTGACATCAAGTTGTCACCTTTTCCTCCTTTGAATTTGAGGTAAGGTAGTTAACTTGGTGACTGTCATACCTCTACAAGATGTCTCAAACTGTTACCCAGCAAAATTATAATTTGGGATAGCTATTTGCTGCTAAGCTGAGGCCATTAGAGTAGGAAAAATCTTCTCTTCATTATTTTTTTTTTATCTCCTCAGTTGGCCCGCTCTCTGAGTGAAACTGGCTGAAGAGACTATTTTTTGAGGTCTACTTCTCAGAATTATACTGCCTTAGACAGGTCTCTTGGCCAGTAGGTGTACTTATGCTGTGGTTAATTGTGTTGAATGAGAGTGGGCACAACAATTGGCAGCCCTCTTTGATTTTCATCTTCAAGATCTTCAGTATTTCTAATCATTTTTAGTCGATAATGGGTGAGTGCTTATAAATGAGGGCATCAGTCACCTCTCTTTTTTTTTTAAATTAGTTTTGTGGTTATCTGAAACTGCAAGCAGCTTTAGGCATCCTGTAAATGGCCAGGGATTCTAACTAAACAAATATTTAACAACTGTGGCCAGTGCTGGGAATATAATGAAATTAAAAAAAAGAAGACCAGTTTCCTGGCTCACACAATTCATAATTTGTTGGAAGAATCTTCAAGTATTAACTATATAGTCACAGATATGTCATTACAAATTATTCTAGATCTCATGAAAGCATAGAGAAGGGGAACCTAAATTTGTCTATGGGGCTAGAGAATGCTCTTTAAGGGCCTAAGACCTAGAAGATGAGCAAGAACTAATTAGATGAGGGGTTGGGGTGAGGGTGAGGGGCAGGTAGGAAAGTACAGAACAGAATAAGTAACGGTACCATATGTAAAAGTCCTGAACTAGGAGAAAATGGCACATTTCAATTTAATTATAATTTATACATCATATTATTAATTCATGGCTCCACAAGCACTCAAAACATTAGAGGAAGAAAACAATCCTTGTTTACAATGGTCCTTTACTCCTCCTTCTCCAATTTTTATATCTGCAAATGTATGCAACTATGAAGGACTAACTGGAAAACTATGTTAACCACAGTAACAAACCTATTGCAGTCCTTGTGATTGAATAAAGACACTTTCATCCTGTTCTTGAGAAGAGAAGAGAATTGGGAGGGTAATTCTGCCTTTTTGTAATCTCTCCAATGGGGGGAAAAGCTTTATCTAAAAAGGATGATTGGAAATAGAAACTAATGTAGATCAGCCCCTTTGTTTCTGCTTTGGGGTTTATGCTGTTTGGAAGTTATGTCTTCTGTGTCTGCACAACCTTTCTTACAGTAGACACACACATTAATTGGGGCTCAGGCCTTTCTGGTACAGTAGTTTTCAATCCTTTGGATACATTGGAATTTTCTGAGGAGCTTTTAAAAAAGTACTCATGCATGGTCCTACTCTAGAGAGTCTGGTTTAGGGGACCAATGTGTGTCCTGGGCAACAGCAGTTCTGGAAAATCCCCAGGTAATTCTCATGCACGATTGCAGCTGAGGACCATCTTTAGTTGGAAAGTCTGGGGCTGTTTCTCTATGAGTCCCTACTCTAAGGGCTCTAAGGATGTGAAGTAGTTCTTATACCTGGTAGGGTGCCACCTGCACAGACATTCTCCCAGGCGAATAGTATAACCTCAGTGCTTGGAAGGAAGGTCTGCTCAGTAGGAAGCCCAGTTGTAACTGTGGGACAAGCTCCACTTTCAAATTCAGCTCTATCAGTTATAAAGCTCCTAATTGTATTCCCATTTTTCTGACTCCTGTATTCAATTCTTATTTATTTTTGTATTTGGATAATAGAGGAATATGATTTACTATTCCTGTCAAATGCCCTGTCCATGAAGTAAGTCTTCCCTGATCTGTTCCTTCTCTTTGGATAGGCAGTAATTTTCATCTTCTGGACTTCCACTTTCACTTATTCTGCATTTTTCCCTTGTAAGTAGTAGTCTCTTGTATATATGTGTATGTATATATGTGTGTATATATATATATATATATATATATATATGCATTTATGTAAACATACATACCTGGCTTTAATTGGAGTGCATTAGTCCACTTACATTAAATGTACTGAAATTATTTGACTTTAAATCTGTTTATCTTGCTATTTTGTTTCCTACCTTTCCTGCCCATTCCATGTTCTTTTTTTCACTCACATTTCTTGCATATTTTGGATTAATCAAATATTATTTTATTAAGCCCTATTTTAATAGGTTTGCAACTATTGTCTTTCAGCATTTTAAACATACTATTTTCTAGTGCTTATTGTTGAAAGATGTTAAAAATTACATATCTGTCTGCTTGCTGTCTTATGAAGATAAT